CGAGTGCTTATTTCAGTCAAAGTTGCTCTTCTATCAGCTTGAATCAGTCGGCCCATTCTCCTCTGACCTCTAGCATCAACAAGGCATTTTCGCCCACAGGACTGCTGCATCCTGGATGTTTTTCCATTTTCACTCCATTCTTTGTAAACCCTAGAAATTTTTGTGGGTGAAAATCCAGGTAACTGAGCAGATTGTGAAATACTCATACCGGCCATTCTGGCACCAACAACCATGCCACGCTCAGAATTGCTTAAATCACCTTTCTTTCCCATTCTGACCTTCAGTTTGGAGTTCAGGAGATTGTCTTGACCAGGACCACACCCCTAAATGCATTGAAGCAACTGCCATGTGATTGGTTGATTAGATAATTACATTAAGGAGAAGTTGAACAGGTGTTCCTAATAATCCTTTAGGTGAGTGTAAATTCACTAGGAAAAATACAATAAAGTTGATCTCTTACTAAATACAGTGTTAACTAAGAAATCACAATGTAACCATAGAAACACTACTAGGTATATATGTTGTTTGTGTGTGTGTGTGTGCTCTGTCTTCTCCATCCCCAGTGAGTCATGGTGGATGGCTGCTTATACTGAGCCAGGATCCTCTGGAGGTTTCTTCCTGTTAAAAGGGAGTTTTCCTCTCCACTGTTGCTAAATGCTTGCTTTGTATGAGGATTGCTGTAAAGACTCTGACACTAGTCAGTGATACAGTACAGTACATACATTACAGTACAGTAATATAATGCATTATAATCTAGTCTTGATGTAATAAATGCATGAACTAGTTTTTCAGCATCACTCCTGGAAAGGATGCTTCTAATCTTAGCAATATTCCGAAGGTGGAAAAAGGAAATCCTACAAACCTGATTAACCTTGGATTTGAATGACAAGTCGTGGTCAAAAATAACACCAAGGTTCCTTACTTTGTTCTCGGAGACTAATTTAATGCCATTCAGGTCAGGTGATTGACTAAGCAATTTCCTTTTCTGGATTTCTGGTCCAAAGATGAGAACTTCAGTCTTGTCTTAATTTAAAAGCAACAAGTTTAGAGTCATCCAATTTTTTATATCCTCAAGACAAGCCTGTAATCTACCTAACCGATAAGGTTCATCAGGGTTAATGGATAGGTATAACTGAGTATTGTCAGCATAACAGTGAAAGTTTATCCCATGCTGTCTAATGATTTTACCAATTGGGAGCATATATATAGTAAAAAGAATTTGTCCAAGCACTGAACCCGGTGGTACTCCACAAGTAACCCTGGAGTATGAAGATTTGTCATGTACATTTACAAAATGAAATCTGTCAGACAGGTAGGATTTAAACCAACCTAGCGCTGTTCCGTTGATCCCTACATGTTCAAGTCTTTCCACAAGAACAATGTGATCTACTGTCAAAAGCAGCATTGAGATCTAACAAGACTAGAACAGACACAAGATTCTTATCTGAGGCCATGAGAATATCATTTGTAACTCTCACTAATGCAGTTTCAGTGCTGTGATACTCTCTAAAACCAGACTGAAATTCCTCAAACAGATCATTAATGTTTAAATGCTCACATGCTTGGACGGCCACTATTTTCTCAAGGACTTTGGATAAAAATGGAAGGTTAGATATTGGTCTATAAATCATTGGGTCATCTGGTTCCAGAGAAGGCTTCTTGAGTGAAGGTTTGATTACAGCAACCTTAAAATCCTGTGGTACATATCCATTTACTAAGGATGGATTGATTATATCTAGAATGGGGGCGTAACCAAAGGAAATGCATCTTTTAATAATTTGGTTAGGATTTTGGTTGGGAAATAATCAATCAAATCAATTTATCAATCAATACATGGTCACATTCATCCTTTCCCTAATATGGGTCAGTCGTCCCGACCACTTTGCAGAAAAGCAGCCCCAAAGCACGATGCTTCCACCACCATACTTCACAGAGGGTTTGATTTTCTTGTTAGGGTTTTCATGTGTGCAATAATGACCTGTTCTTGACAGGTCACATGTGTGAATGTGAATGAGTGAATGACTGATTGCTCTGTGAAGCACCTTGGGGGGTTAGAAGGTGCTATACAAACACAGGCCATTTACCACTTTGGTGCCTGGTAAGAGACAATCCCATTTCATCTCAAATGTTGGGGAAACAGGTTACAGAGCTTTAATAAATACAGAGATGTTCATGATGGGAACATAAGCATTGTAATTTACCATTGTCTCCCAGTCGCACAGTCTGCTAGAACACTAATTTCAAAAACACTGAGTATTTGGTTACATGTTTAATTCACTCAGACCAAAAGATAAGAAGTTAGCTTTATTACAAAGAATACCTCCACATCTTTCTCATTTTATTCTAAATTAAATTAGAGGCAATCCTTTGGTAAAAAAGTTTTATTATAATAAAAATGAAAAAAATAAAGACTATGCATTTTCATTTAGCAGGAAGATTCTATATTTACACACATCCAAAGTTTGAACGATTTCCACCTCTTCTTCCTCTCCTTCTGTTTATGTCCTCGGCTCTCACTGATCCAGTCTCCTGTCCTTGGGTTTCTGACGTCTTCCAATTTTTAGATGTAGTATTTACCTTTTGGGATTATTTTTGCATTCCCACTTACCTGTTTGGAAACTGGATTGGGAATGATTTCTATGTGTCTTGGTTTTAATCGTTTTTAATGACTTTAAGATTAGCCAACACATTTTTGAGTCCTTGTAAAAAAAAACATGCCTCGTTAGAGATGCCACAATTTCATATGAGCCTTCATTACTGTGATGGATGCATCATTAACAGATTGAAGGGGATTTATCCGGGACAGGATCAAAGAATCAAATTTTTGGTATGTAAGTACTATATGTTACTCATGCACTGAGAGGAAAATTGCAGCAAAAGATTAAAAGATTAACAACGGAGAGGGAGTTCTCACATGTGATGAATGGGGAAGTGGGCCAAGGTCAATCAGCTAAATCAATCATCCATCCATTTTCTCTGTAAAGCAGCTCTGGGTTGTAGGTGCAAGTGTCCTGAGGTGGTCATTGGGTGGGAGTAGTGGGACACCTGGACATCTAAGTTGTCCATGACATGTCCAACTCAGACACACATAAAGCCAAGCCTGGAGTTGGGGCATATTGGTGAATGTCTGGTGGCTAGGCTTTGGACCCTTATAGAGTTTGCACTCTACTTGCTTCTCAGTTGTTTTCACAAAATGCTCCCAAACCTTTGAGCGCCGTTGTCGATTTGCCATGATGTGTTGTTTCTCCGGTGATTGTGCGCAAACGCTGAGCTGCACGTGCCTCGACTTACAAGCAGCGGGGCAGGAAGCAAACGTGCCGAATGTGCTGCAGCAGGCGAGATTTTAAAAATGCACGTTTAAATGTAGCCATGCATCATCTTCCACTTCAGTTTCGCAGTAATTTAGCTTAAATTCATATGGAATTTGTTGTTGGAAACTACCTCCTAAATGCTGTTTACGTTGTTCCACTACTTGCATAAAATGGGAATTCCACATGAAAGATTAAAACTGCTCTACACTAAAAACATTCATTTGTGTGGTTTGTGTAACATTTATGTAGATGCCAATCTGACAGCTTTTACAATCGACATATTTTTTATTCTACTATTAAGAAGTGAAAAAACAATGATGACCAAAACAGTAGTGACTCACTATTTCAACTTTAAGAAAACATTTGACCGTAACTTGACCTTTTTTCAGAGCGGTTAAGTTCCTTCTTCAGCACATTGTCATCGTGTTGATGTCTTCATGACGTTTTAACGTTGAATTATATATTTATTTAAAGCTGAATTTGTCCACCGAGAGCCTGAGAAACCATTAGCCACTGGGTACTCATATCCTCATGCTCATCTGGCCAAACCCTAAAGAGGACGTTCTCCTTTATATAATCTCAACAGCGTAGACCTCAAACATCCATTCCTGAGATTATGGCTAATCCCAACTCTAAACTAAAAGGAGGTACTGCAAGAGAAGTTCTCTGAATAAGTTTGCACAATAGAGAGGGGATGACGACACCCAGCCCACCCTAGCTACTTCAAAAACGGACCTGAAAATAAATAAATTTAAAAAATAAGATTGTGGGAGAGCCTCTGATGATCAAATGGTTTGATAAGCTTTTCAACACAATCGTCTCTACACACCTATTGTCTCTAGTGAACATTCATTCATTTTCTTTACCTCTTCCTTTAAGTAAAGTTCACATGGAGCAGGTACTAATCTCCAGCAGTCACTGGACCAAAGGTCGGCGACACCTTGGACAATGAACTTTAATGTCCTTTTGGTTAGGAACAAGCAGGAGATGGCATTAGAAGACATGCACATCATTATTTAAAAGCAATGTAGGCCCATTTTCCTTACTGGACTTGGCTCAGTTTGGCTAGACTTGACTCATCTCAGCTCAGTGTGGGCTGCTTTTCCAAACTGAGATGGAGCTAGAGTGGGTGCTCTCAAGGGGAAGAGCACACCTGCAATCTTCACCCAGCTCAAAAATAACACAAGTTGATCTGCATGTCTCACAACACTCAACACAGCAGAACAGTGGTGATGATGCTGAACGTTGTGCTCAGTCTCGGCTTTGAACCTGAAAACAGCAGCAGGCAGAAAGTTGTGGAGCGACCAGCGACTCCGCTCCTTTGCAACAGTCATGCTTCAGAACAGTTCAGGATGCTTGGAGCCTCCTTGAAGCAGGTACTGGTGTGTGTGTGTGTGGGGGGGGGCAACCCGGCATAGTGTAGATCGACACTTTTAACATTTTTATGTTCTGCTCTCACAAATAGGTCAGAATTAGGTGTTTATGATTATATAAAAGCCAATAATAACATACTTGTTTTCTTTATTATGACATTTTAGTGGCCTGTGAGCGCTTTCAATTGGATCATTTGGGTTTTGTCTTGAAAAGTCTGGACACCTTGCCCTAATTCAATACAATCCCTCATTTGTCGGGTACTGAAGCCCATAACGGAAAGGAAATCCTTTCTAAAAGAAGAAACTTCCAGAAAGCTTTTGGTTTCTGCCAGCGATTTTATTCAGATCATGTCCATGCCTACAGCTTTGTGTGGCTTGTGAAAACAATTAATGTGATGATCATGACTGTCCTCTTGAAATGTTTGGGAACCCTTCCTATTAAATCACCGTCCTCACTAGGGTTGTCACGGTGTGAAAATTTAACCTCATGGTTATTGTGACCAAAATTATCACGGTTTTCGGTATTATTGCGGTATTTTTTTAAACATGCTACATTTTCACACAGTTAAATAAACCCTGTATGTCAGGAAATATTGTCCTCAGTTTGTGACTAAATGTTGCCTAAAATGTGTTATTTTGTAATTATGTTGTTTATTTGTTTACATTTTTTCCCTTTAGTCTTTAAAATACCAATATTTGCCCATAACTTCTTATTTTTTGTCTGTTTGATGTCATCATTTTAAAAATATTAGATCAGATGATACTCAGTACTCAAGTAGCCTTCTAATCAGATACTTTTTTACCCTTACTTGAGTAATAAACCCTTTATCAGGAAAATATTGCCCTCGGTTTGTGTCCTTCCAGTGAGCTTTGCAGATTTGGGAAAATGTCATCAGGCAGTAATCATTGTTAAATTCATAATTATTCTCGGAGAGAGACCAACTCTTATCTGCCCCTGGCAGCCCCGTAATGCATAGCGTCATTTCAACATGGGGGTGTCCGCGACACGGTTTATATGCAGGTAGCGGCGCTGCGGCTGCTTTATATAGCGACTCGTTGCATTCTCCCTCAACCCAAATCCTCGGGTCACGCATTTTAGCTAAAACGCTAACGTTAGCTTGCCTTGCGTTGACTGTAGAGTTGTGGGTGATGGTCACGCAGATGTGTCATGAGATTTGAAGCGTTGCAGCCTTTCACAGACACTTTTTCTGCACGTGCTGCAAACAGGATAGCCGTCTTCTATCAACTGTCCCTCGGCATTCTTCACATATCCAAAAGATGCCCGTACTTCCCACTTTGTCTTCTTTGAGGGATAATAAATGTCCTGAGCGCTGCCGTCTCCTCTTTTGGCCATTATTTCAGCTTTAGCTTCAAGAATGTTTTGGTTGTAAACAACAAAGCGCGCATGTGCCGCCGGCAACTCCAGCCGATGATACGGTGGCTGGTAAGGGTCACCGCACCTACACCGCAGTCACGGTAACCCACCGAGATAATTTTTTTTAACAAAAAGACGGTTATTATTATGGTCAACTTTTTTACCGGGGTTTACCGCTACACCGGTTACCGTGACCCTAGTCCTCACACAAGTTCAACGGGATTTATTGGACTGATGAAATATGCAGTCTGTGATCTCTCATCAGGACCAGTTATTACTCTTTTCTAAATCAAGTCTTTCCGTTCAAAACTGTGAAAGTTGTTTAGGGAGTCCCGATCTTAGGGTGTGATTGTCATTATTAGGTTAAAATGTCTGTAAAAATGTAGAAAAACCATTAGCAGAACCTGATTTCTGAAGTGTGTAAGAAATCCTCCAGCAGGCCATTGTGATTAGTAATTAATGCAAATAATCATTTCACCACTGAGCCACTTGCTTTCTGCTTCCCGATGCGCTCCAGGTGAAGTGATGCTTTTGGCATCACAGCTAAACTTACAGCATCACTGAAAAAAACAAATCAAACCGATTAAGACTTTTAAGTCTTCACTTAAGTGTTTGAGTCTTTCTATTTGAGGGCCATGTGACGTGGAGACTGAGGGAACACGTATTGCAGCAAACGAGCGCGCCCACTTGGTGTCTTCTCTTTGTTTCCTGATTGGCCTCCTCCTGCTGTGTCCAGCGGGTTTCCTCCTCCACTTCTTTCTGTGAGATGTTAAACGCTCCTCCACAACGACAGCAGTACGTGTAAACACACTGACCTGGAATAACACACACACACACTTAGGAAAAAATCTATTGCCTCGTTCAGATAAATCAAGACAGTGTGTGATATTTTCTAATTCATCTGTAAAACACACCTGCTTTAACTGTGCTCCTCAAGGGCCCTAGCCAGTAGGTTCTAGAGGTTTCCATGATTCAACACACCTGGTTTTAATGACCTGCTGTACATGTGATTCAACCATAAAATCAGGTGTGTTGAAGCAGTAAAGCAACTAAACATGTTAGATAGCAGCCCCCCAGGACAGGGGTTGGATATCCCTGCTCTAGGTACACAAAACAACCACACTGATACACATAAACAGGAAGAGTATCACTCAGCAAAGATTAGTCTTGATGATTATGATAGAATCCATGACTGTTTTAACAAACACTCATTATCACATTTGGAGACTAGTGAGGTCAGCTTGGATGGTTTTGGATTATTTGCCTTTTATCATCAATCAATACTTTATTAATCCCAGGGGGAAATGAGAGTTTCAGTACACACAATTCAGAGATCAGACATACATGGGCAAGACACATGACAAGAATTGGTGACTGTGGTCATTCGCAACCCGAGTCGCGCTACCTTAATAGAGATAAGAGGGGAACATGAGGATTGGTTCAGGTGGAGGAAAAAAGGCACTTCACAGTTACCCTCCCACCAGGAGGGCAGCTTTGCTCTGCAGAAAAACAACTCAACAGATATGCAACAGACTTCAGACAACACAACATAACATGAGACTCCAATAGGAAGGCAGGGGGGGCTGGGATCCTGTTTCCCCCAGCGAGAGCAGCCATCTACAGCACTCATCTACTGTACAGTCACAGGCGGGAGGGAGATCTTGGGAGAAGCGAAGAGCACATTGACTCCTGCAGATTGATGACCTCGCCAGGCTGAAGTCTACCAATCTGAAGGCGGGAGGAGGGGGGGGGGGGGGGGGGGGGGGGGGTAGGTCGGGTTTTCACAGTATCTGTCTGCATTCCTTCGCAGGGGTTTGTAGCCTCTCAAGGCTACCATGGTGCCAGATTCAGATAACAAGAATTTGTTTGGGTCAGGCTGAGATAATTTTCCTCTCTGCCTTCAGTCTTTAAACTGATCATTCCAGTCCTTCAGTGAAGCCAATTTTGGGTTTTGAAAACCTGTCCATACCGTCCGGTGACTCTCTCAGAGATGACATCCATTTTGCGCACTAATACCGATATCGCAGGTAGAACATTGTCCAGCTTACGATTCACCTCGAGTAACGTCCCAGTCTGAGAAGTCTCCACACGGACGGTGCTTTCCTTGGGTGCGGGTCCCCCTCCAATCGCTCCCGTCTTCCCATATTTCCAGAAAACCAGATATCCTCCCACTCCAACCAGGAGAAATCCAGTGATCGTCAGGCCGAATATCCACACGTCTTCAATGTCCTCAATGTACAGCTAGGAGAGGCATTTGATCTTCCATTCCCTCCAGGAATCCAGCATATATCCCACCAGGTGTGTCTCCTGTGGACATGTGGGAGCCCCCTGCTCCGTTCTCATTGTTGAAAAAATCTTATCAATTGCATTGAATGACCAATTCATCAAATCCATGGTTAGTAAAAATAGGGTTTTTCAGAAGAAATGCAGAGAAGCGCTCTGTGGGCAGACAGGACAAAGAGCCTTGGGGAAAAAAAAAGATAAGGGAGCGAAAGAGGGAAGCGTCTGTACTCTGCGAGTGCCTTGAAGAACCACTGAGCAGTCAACTGGCCACAACCTGGTGGTGAGTTGGCTCTGATGGTGGGGGAGGATGCAGGTCGGACCTGGCAGGCTAAAATGTACGGTGGGGGTCTGCTGGTAACAGCTGGTGGGGTCTCTTGTAAAGAGGTTAAGTTTTGAACGCAGACCCAGGACACACCAGAAGGAGTAGGTTTCTTGTTTGGCTTGGGAACACCATAGGATTCTCCTGGAGGAGCGGACCCAAGGGGCTGGAAGAGGGAAGTCTGGGCCTCTCCCAACCCCAGATAAGTGGAGATAGATGGATGGATGCATGGACGGACGGACGGACCACCTGTATTATCTCATTGAAGGTCCTGGTATTGCATTTTCTATAACTGCTCCATCCAGACTTCAATCCACTGTTTTATAATAATAGCTGCTGTGGCCACAGGAGAAAGAAGCTGCTTGTGAGCACTTCTCTATTGACCTGTGAGGGGACTGACTGTGTCTGTATGCATCAGAAAATGGTGTCTTCTTACCTTGGTCCCAAATCATATCCTCCAGAAAGACCGAATCATCAACTGGACAGTCCTGTTTCAGTTCCTGTGCTGTGGAGAAGACAGGATTAGGGTTAAAAGACAACAGCTCATTAAAGTTGACGTGCAGACAAAAGATGTGTGACCCTTGGTCAATGACGTCTTCAAAAATGATAAATAAAATTGGAGACTATGTGAAGTAAGTCAAGGGTTATGTTCTGAACAAAATTGTTAACATCTTTATTTACACTCATTTCCAAGGGAAAAAGAACAAATATTGAATAAACAGAAGGAGAAACACTCTGTTACTGCAGACTGTTGGAACTTGGACTTGTGACTGGAAGTTGATTTCTTTGGTGGAAGTGGTTTTAACTTTCCCCTCAACTCTTCTCCATCTACCCCAAAGCCTGCAACTCCAACCACGAGTCTGTCAAACTTATCAAGTTTGCAGATGACACCACCATCATCATACTCATCCCTGTCTGAGATGACTCTGATGACACTACTGTCATCAGACTCATCTCAGACGAGGATTAGTCTGATGACGGTGGTGCCATCAGACTCATCTCAGATGGGGAATGAGTCTGATGACGGTGGTGCCATCAGACTCATCTCAGATGGGGAATGAGTCTGATGACGGTGGTGTCATCAGACTCATCTCAGATGGGGAATGAGTCTGATGACGGTGGTGTCATCAGACTCATCTCAGATGGGGGATGAGTCTGCCTATGGAATGGAGGTCAAACAGCTGGTGTGCACAGAAGACAGCGGAGATTGTTGTGGGCTTTAGGAAGCACACAGCACACCCACCCACCACCACCACAACCCTGTCTGACACTCCCATCACGACGGTGGGCTCACGTCGCTTCCTGGGCACCACCATCACCCAGGACCTCAAGTGGGAGGCCACCATCACCTCCATCATAAGGCCCAGCAGAGGATGAACTTCCTGAGGCAGCTGAAGAAATTCAGCTTACTTAAAAAAGCATGCTAACCAATTGCACTTAAAATAATAAGTGCATGGAACTAGGTAATTATGTGCTGGAGCTACTAATATAAGTAAAATGAACTTAATTGCAAGTTACTCTAACTAAGCCAAACTAGTACAAAGTATGTGAAAATCTGTTTACTGAACTAGTTTTTCTGAGTTGTATAAGCTTTAGTAAACTGCAAGCACAATTTTCAGTACATTGTACTAGTATGTCTAATAATAGTCACTTGAATTTAAGTATGTTTTACTTTGTATACAGGAGGAGCATCAAAACTTAATTACCTAGTACCATGTACTTATAGTTGTCAGCGACCATGCTCCGGTTTCTTTAACTCTGGTAAACAAGAAGACAATCCCACCAAGCAAAAACTGGAGGTTTAATGCATCACTGCTTAAAGACAAAGGTTTTATAGAATTTTTTTTAAAAGGAGTGGGCTTTATATTTAGAACATAATGACCTGCCTGGAACATCAACAACTGGGATGCAGGGAAAGCAGTAATGAGAGGTAAAACGATCTCTTTCTCGGACTGGATCTACGCAACTTTTATTATTATTTCTTAGCCAACAGGCTGCAATATATACCAAGATGGTTGCAAGATAACCCACTAGATGAGTCCTGGGTAGATATAGAACAGACACTTTGCAATACGATAGAGCTTTCAGACTTACCATTTATTAGCTCAAGCATAAGAAAACATAAAGGCTTCAAAAGTATTAGTATCAGCACCTCTCTGGCAACATGGTGGGAGTATCTTAAAATGACAGAGTCTTCACTAATACCATGCAGACGCACACCTATCTGGAATAATCCTGATATTTTGCAAAATAACAAAATGATTAACCTTCTGGACTGGAAAAATAAAGGAATCCTATACCTGGAACACATATATGAAGGATTGGACTTCATCCCATTTAACAGAATAGTCTCCCATTTTGGAATAGATAAGAATAGCTTTTTAGAATATCACCAAATTAAATCTGTAATCAAACAAAAAATTAAGCTCAATAAAGTAGAATTAAAAACACCACAAAGGGTATTAGACTTCTATAATCTCAAACCCACCAAACTACTGTCTAAAGTATATAAGACACTGTCCAAAATAGACGATAGAATAGCAATCCCTGTTGAAAAATGGGAGGTGGATCTATCAGTCAGCTTTGACCAGAACTTCTGGTCCCAAACTTGTTTAAACACTTCTAAAATGATCAGACACTCCAATTTACAATTAATTCAGTACAAAATTCTACACAGAGTACACTATACAGGTCATCGGATGTTCAAGATGGGGTCTGTGTTGTCTGACACCTGTACACACTGCACAAACAACATTCCTGACAATTACATTCATGCACTGTGGTCCTGCCCACCTGTCCAGGAATTTTGGGGTAGAGTATGTGGAAGACCTGTCAAAGTGACTGAAATGTCATATTCCAACTTCCCTCTCTCTTTGATTGCTGGGAAACCTGGACGATGTCCCGATTGAAACATCTTTGGTTCACGTGATTCTGACTGCCATATGCATCGCTAAGAAAACTATCCTCATGAATTGGAAAAATAGAGATACTTTTTGCATTGACCAGTGTAGAAATATTTTGTTAGATCATATTGCACTTGATACAGCCTCTGCTTCCACTTCAAGTCAATCTCTTTGGGCTCCTTTGATCGGTTCCATCACAAAGCAATGATGGGGGGTAGGGGTCACTGATATTGTCCTGCGGGGTGATGTGGGTGATGGGGTGGACGGTCTGAGTTTGGAGTATCCGGATGTTCCCTGAGGGTGGGTTCACTGGGGACGTCTGGGGCTGGGGGGGCTGGTGCTTGGGTTGCCTCGGGGGGTGGACTACTGACAGTTGTGAGTGGGGCCCCTTGGGGGTCTTGGCGGTGGCCATGGGTTGCTGCCTGGTGGCTGCATTGTCCCTGAGTAGGTCTGGGTGGGGGCCTGGGGGCTCGGGGTGTGGGGTTGGCCAGCCCCGTGTGGGGATCTAGGTGGGGCCTTGGGGGTCGGGTCATGACAAGTATGCTGCCGGGAAGAAGGTGGTAACATACGGCAATGCCCGGCCCGGACTCAGGGGCCTTGGGTAGATTTTGGCTCTTCTGCTGTCCATCACGGGGCAGGGGGATGTCCAGGAGGGGGAGGACCCAACCTTATCTGGATGTCCTATGATGTCTTATATATTCTGGAAGCCTCATCCCAGGTGCCGGTGCCCACTTCCAGTTTTAAACTGCACTTAGACACAGAGGGCTGTGGGGGGAAGAGGGGTGGTGTGGTGGTATATGCATAGGCCAGACGATGCCTGCACTGCCCGCTCACCACAGCCACGAATACACCTCATCAACACGCACCAACACTGTATTGGAGCAGGCAGAGGGTGACTAGGCGTCTTAGCACACCTCTGTTGTCGCTTGGCTTCCCGGGGCTGGAGGCTAATCAATCAATCAATCAATCAATCAATCAATCAATCAATTAATCAATCACAACTTTATTACCGTAAATCCTCTAATACAGGCCCGGGCCTGTATTTGACTTAAGCTCATCAAGCTCCAGGCCTTTATTGGAAGGAGGACCAGAATTAGAGGCAGGCCTCAATTTCTATTTGAGCAAAATGAACTAATAATAATAATTAATAATAATGGATTAACTTTGTTCTGCATGACGGAGACGTGGGTCCCACCGGGTGAGTCAGTGACATTTGCTGAACTTTGTTCGTCAAATTGTTCTGTTGTGAATGAGCCCAGACTGTCGGGTCGAGGTGGGGGCCTATTGACTATGTACTCATCCTCCCTCCCCCTCAGGCGCCTCCCGGGCTCATCACCCCCCACCAGCTTTGAGGTCTCTGTTTTTGAACTCAGTCTCTCCCCTCCTATTCTATTTATTCTGTGTTACCGGCCACCAAAATATAACTCTGCTTTTATTAGGGACTTCTCTGACCTTTTAGCTGAATATCTCCCCAGGTATGACCGAGGTATTATCCTTGGTGATTTTAATATTCACGTTTGTTGTCTGTCGAATCCTCTGGTGAGAGATTTCTCAGATGTTCTGGTTTCATTTGGCCTCCAGCAACTGGTCAATGTTCCTAGTCATGATCACTCTCACACACTGGATTTACTTTTATCATTTGGACTGAAGATGCAGGACTTGGTTGTTCACCCTGTCAGTTTCTCAAGATCATTTCTCAGTTGTTTTTAACATCTCTGCCATATTACCTGTAGTGAGAAGGCAGGCTCCTCGATACTCAAGGCACATCTCTCCCTCCACGACTGCCTCACTACTGTCCATCCTGGAGGTTGAATTATCTAATCCTTCCTCATCTGGGATCACCACGGATGTGGATGGGCTTTTAAATTCTTTTAATTTGACTTGTTCTGTTGCCCTGGACTCAGTTGCTCCCCTTAAACTTAAACGCAAGAAAACCACCTCTGATCCTTGGCTGAACAATGAAACACGCAGCCTCAGGCGGCGTTGTAGGGCGCTGGAAAGAAGGTGGAAAAAGGACAAGCTACTAATCTCATAGCAGCTTCTGATGATGCCCTTGACCTGTATCAGAAAAGTGTTAGATCTGCCAGGAACAAATACTTTGCATGCATAATCTCTCAACACCAGGGTGATCAGCATAAACTTTATAGCACTGTCAACTCCATCTTGTCGATAACTGAACCTGGTAGTGTTGATCCCTCTGTGTCATTGTGTGCTGAGCTCCAGACCTTCTTTCTTCACAAAGTCCGGGACATTAGGGATAGTTTTGTGCAACCAGGATCTGGTTGTCCTGATGTACCACCAGAACCTCCCTCATTCTGTAACTTTACTCCCATATCTCTTAGTGAATTGTCAGATCTGATTGGAAATAAGAAACCAGCAGGTTCTCCTGAGGATCCTCTCCCCCCGGGGATGGTGGGTGATATCATCCCTACTTTGGGCCCCTCCATCAGATGTTTTTAACTCTAGCTTGGCTACTGGGGTGTTTCCTACCTCTTTTAAAAAGGCGATTGTGCAACCAATTTAAAAAAAACCTGGTTTAGACAACTCAAACCTTGCAAACTTTCGGCCAATCTCCAAATTACCGTTTTTGTCTAAGGTCCTC